CTCAGCAGTTGCATGCATGCACTCAACTTCAACGTCAAAAGTAAATGATAAATGAAAAATGCAAGTGATAAATTTGTAATAAACTGATTAAAACCTGTGCTTCTTGATTGCTCAATTCGTCGTCGGAGTATGAGATCGAAAATCCGAATCCGAGATCCTCTTGTCGAACAGCATCATCTATCTGAACGAAATCGTCATCAATTGAGACCTCTCCTTCGAACACCTCTTCCTAAACTTTCAACTAAGATTTGACTCGTCAACTCAAACTAGGAGAATTAAACATTTTTAACTAAACTTGAAGTTGTTCCTTAGTTGCACAAAGCTTAGATGCCTAACTAACCTCCTCATAATTCTCTGCGTTCTCTTCGAGCAATATAACTGAATCAAATCGGGGGATTTCTTCATCGTAAATAGCAAAGACGAATTTCTCGTCTCTAGCAAGAGGATTGTCCAAGTTCCCGTCGGGAAGCTGAAAAAGTTTTGCATTGTTTTTTGAACTGTTCAGCTAACCAGCTTCTTCTTCGACGGCTTCTTGTTCGTTACCAAAGTCCAGAGTGTATTGTCTAAATATCATCTTTTTAAGCAATACCTGTGCGAAAACATACCACACTCGTTCTCGTTCTTGTTATTGTTGTTATTGTTGTTGTTGTTGTTCTTCTTCTTCTTCTTCTTCTTCTTCTTCTTCTGCTTCTTCTTCTTTAGCTCTAGTGTACTACTTGCAATTGTCTCTTGCGCTTGCTAAAAAGTTTACAAAGTTCTTGAATAATACACACGCTGTCTTGTTTTTCTTCGTTGCAAGAAGTTTAAATGCCTAACTAACCTCCTCATCATCTGCATTCTCTTCGAGCGACAGAACCTCGACGTCAACGCCATTTTGTCCATCCAATAGTTCTTCTCGAGTGTTTTCTCCACTCAGCTGCCCATTCTAAATCATAAAATGGTGATTAGAAAGTTTTTTGAAGAAGAAAGCTAGGCTTGCTGTGGGATAAGTTTCGGGAGCTGTCGCGTAATAGTTCGTTGTAGAATTTACCATTAATCAGCTTCGATTTTGAACAGGACAACCAAAATTAAAGGTATAACTGACTAGGAGTCGATGATGCAACTCATCGTCTCATGGACAAAGCTTGGCTTTAACGTGTGACACTAACCTGGACAGGTGGCAGATCTTCAGATTTGGTGGTTAGTCCGAAATACTCGAAGAGACCTCTCAGTCGTTGCATCATCGAATAAATGAATGCTGGGCCTGGGGCCCTTTTTTATTCGGAAAACTGAATAAAAAAGGGCCTGCCTCATTCTCAGGGAGGCGGAGTCACTCCCTCAACACTCCTCGGTGCAGCCCCATTTACCGGTGCGAGACCACGAATGAGTCACATTTATCTACTTTTCGAAAACAAAAGCATGGAAGGTTTAGCGGCAAGGCTAACTCAAAATTGAATGAAGCCAATACACCAATGATGAAAACTTTTGTAGAGAGGTATAATAGAAAGTGTAAACCCTGGGATTTTTGAAAGAGAGTAACTATTAGGTTGGCAAGAAAGTTCGTAGGAAAAGTTTGCACAGTGATTTCTCAATAACCAAGCCATGAATTCTTCCAAAATTTTTTTTGATAAACTTGGCTATATTTCAAAAAGTTTTTAACAAAAAAATCAGAGTGGATTTAAGCTAAAAAATTAAAGATTTCTTCAGCTGAAGTGACTTGACCACTTTTTGAGGGACCAGCCTTTGGACAAGCTTTTAATGGGTTAATGGATAGGCAATGGGTCCCATTCAAAACCTAAAATGAAGTACTTAAAATAAGGAAAATTTGTGATTAAGACAAATTTTATCTAATGCTTTAACTTTTCAAAATGGTCTATTTTAGCAAACGCTCAGTGCCAAGAAGATGACACCAAAAAATATTTGAATATAGCTTCTATGTGAAAAATTTTTGGCGAGAAATAAAGATTATAGAGCGTATTGCTCATTTATGCTAGGTTTACCCCATAAGAAATCGTTTTTGCGATGCAAAAAGTGAGCTTAAGCTGGAAAATCATACTTTTTCAAAAGTCTTTAAAAATTTTAAGGGAAAGTTGTACTCATTTTTTATGAGTAATTTTTCGGGGTCGACTTGTAAATAATAGAACAAAATGTTCTTGAATTGGTGAGCTTTAAGCTGAATTTGTTTTTAAGAGATTCCAGTTCAAATCTGTGCAAAGAATTTCTTGCCAACCTATTAGAAAACACTTTACTATGAATTTTAGGTTAATTTCAAAAAACTATTTACAATGTAGTGCTAAAAAATAAAACGTATAGCTTTCGAAATCAATAAACGCCTTGGGTAAAGGCAAACTTAGTGTTTTAGGGAGGAAAAGGAGGTACAGAGGATTTTTTTTACAATCGCCAACCCGTCACCCCTCTCTCGGATATGTTGATGAAAAAGCGGGAAGAGCGAAAAGAAATGGAAGAAATTTCAAAATAGCCTTATTGAAAATGGAAACACGTACATAAATGTCTGAATCAAATAAAATCGAAATACTTTCGAAGCCTAGGAATCTTATCAGATCTCAAGTGAGCTAGTTGAAAAGCTGGAAAACTCTGAAATGGCATTGAACATTGCACAAATAAAACATGATTTCTCAAAGTGGGTTTGACGAGCTGACTTTTGTATTATATTTAGTCGTTTTCGATGGAATAGATTTGTCGATTTCACATGATTGAGTCAAACAGACATTTGCCCATTTGGGGAAGAATTTCCAGAAATTTTAGTGGAATTGCTGTAGACCATGGAATGGAATGAATGGCAAGAAGGTTCATTTTTTTAAACTCATCAAAGCCATAATTTACCGCTGAAAAGATTTAGCTAGACCTTACTCAAATAAAATGAACATTACCAGGCTTGTTCAAATTACAAAATGGAACATAACAAAACCCACTCAAAAAAAACTTCTGATTCGATTGAAAATTCGGTCAAAAAGTCAAAGTTGATGCAATCGATTGTTGTTGCAGCGAAAATAAGGCCTGTGATAACACTTTTCTTGCTGACTCATAGGTTAAATCGACAACACCTGAGAAAAGGCCTATTTTTTGGCGTTTTACTCTCTCTTTCTATTTAAATCATAGGGTATATTTGTTTATTTTTGCCTAAAACTTGGGTCGACTAATTCCATTTAACATAGAGAGCACCTCACAAATGCCAACGGATCCCCAGCTCAACACCAGTGAAAATCGCGAACAAGGTGAGGTTCTTTTTCACAAAACGTTGAAACGCTGGTTAGACAAAACGGCCGAACGCCGAATATTTTGAAACCTTTATTAAAAAGCCAGAATATTCAGCAAAAATAACCATTTGTGCTCATTTTGTGCGTTTCTTGCTGAATGTCTTAACTATCCCTATCAACGCATCAAAATTTGCGGCTAATCGGCACAAATAGTTTTCTGACGTTTAGCCGGCACTCTTAAACGCACTATAATAGTAAAAGTTGTTTATGTACTAAAGAAATGCTTGCTGTTTTTCAGCATGCAATTTTCCCGTCGACTATGAGAGCCATATGGATGTGGAAATGTTAATCCGTGACGAAGATCATCAACGCACAAGGCATCGTTCTACTAACATACGGGGTGGCGCTAGAGAGTGGGGCACTAGTGAGAGTGGGGCACTAGTGAGAGTGGGGCACTAGTGAGAGTGGGGCACTAGTGAGAGTGGGGCACTAGTGAGAGTGGGGCACTAGTGAGAGTGGGGCACTAGTGAGAGTGGGGCACTAGTGAGAGTGGGGCACTAGTGAGAGTGGGGCACTAGTGAGAGTGGGGCACTAGTGAGAGTGGGGCACTAGTGAGAGTGGGGCACTAGTGAGAGTGGGGCACTAGTGAGAGTGGGGCACTAGGCGACTTTGCCGACATTCTGTTATTATAATATTTTTATAAAGAGTACATTTGATGAGTGAAATAACAAAAAAAAACGATCGAATTGAGCATTCAGTTTTCAGGAATGGCCATCGGCCGATGGCTTCACGTGACGCGGCATGTGTTACTCTTTCCTGTGCAATAAAAATCTCGATGTGCTGTATGTTACTGAAAATTCTTTCAACTTTACTACTCTACTCAAAACTTTAGGTCTCCTTGTAGTAATCGTCGCGATTATCATCTACATTTCTCTCATGGAGATGTACGCTAGAGGTTTACCCCATTGACTTCAATGTTCGTCGTACTTGCCTAAACAAAATTTCATGTTATTAATCTCCAATTTGATCAATAAATTTTTCAAAGGTCCCTTTTTGCAAGTTGAGCAGTTGAGCAAAGGAGCGTCTTTCAACTTTTATCATGGTTGATCGCCTGAGCAAATCGCCGGATGAAGCTTGTAAAGAAAGGTTCCCACAGATGGAATGCATTGCTTTTTGAAGACAAATAAGGAACCCTGTAAATGTCCTGTAAACATCTGTAGCAATTGTAAAATTTGGCACAAAAAACTGGTTTTTTATTGCTGTAAAATAATCATTTGATCAATTCACCCCTTCTACCCCTTCACACGACCGGGTCTCACCGTGTCCACCTCCATCTTCAGTCCAGATTCCCCTGCATTGACCATCGCCAAAACCTCTATTTCGGCAACAATCCCATACATTGGATTTCCCCTAGAATTTTTCTTTTAGCAAATAATTCTTGGTAAAGAAAAATGGATTTTTATAAGATTTCAACTTACATTTTGGCAAAATCCATCGCATTCCGGAAACCATTTATTCATTTTTTCTTGAGTGTTAACTAAAAATTCTCAGAAATTATCGATTTCACGAAACGCTTACCGTTTAAACTTAAGCAAAAAAAAGGCGAAAAGGGAGCATTTTCTTGAAGGAACACCCTTTTGTTTACCAAAATTGAAAAGCAAATAGAACTCGATGCATTTCGAAAGCGAATTCAAAAAAATAGTTAATAGTTAAAATAGTTAAAAAATAGTTAAAATAAAAAATGGTTTGTACGTTTTTTTCAACAATTCCCAAAAATAGTCACGCGAAAGATTTTTGAGAATTTTAATTAGCTCCAGAATGGCACGTTACCACCAAGTTAAAGATAGAAAACTAGAGCTAAAAACTACAAAATTTAGAAATTGTGTTTTTAGGTTTTTAGAAAATTTAAATTTTATTTTTTATTATTTTAGATTCTTCAAGAACTGTTCGAAAACCAAGATAAATCGGCAAAAGAGTTTCGGGAACTAATTCGGCAGTACAACAATGAACTTGCGTTAGCTTCTATGGTCGCTGATATAAAAACTCCAAAAGGCCATGGCCCTTATTGTTTTAAAGTTCATGGACAGGTTGGTTTAACAGCTTAATTAAGAACTGCAATAATAACGAAGTTGTTAGGTGTGTCATTGTATGGGAGATCTCCGACCACCTCCCGGACAACAACACAAGTTTGCTCAAGTTTACATTCTTGATTCAAATGAAACTGCCCAAACACTTACTGAATCACCTGCAAATCAAAAATGTAACAAGACAATTTTTGAAGGTTTACACAAATGGATTTCAACCAAAAACCAATTTGCAAAATCTTTGAAAACAATGGAAGAAGTGGTAAAAGAGGAAGAAAGAAAAGCCAGCGCAGGGAAACGAGAACCACATCGAATCAAAATGATTATTTTGGTTCGATGGTTCGCTCAAAATGATTATTTTGGTTTAATTACCCAAGTTTGAGGTTTCGAAATGGCAAAACGCACGAAGAAGGTCATCCCCTCGCTGCTTAACTTGACAGATCTGACGGGACATCCTACGCATCCTCTCCCACCACCCACGTTTGCCCTCCCCACTCACACAAGTTGCTACGTTTTCGCGAAGACGCTCGGACCTGATTACCATCTTGTTGTTGAGGACCTGCCTGAGGTTGCTCCTTCCCCTTTTTTCCCTGCTTTGGCTCGAAGAAGTTATGATCGTTTTTTGTTGGATCAAGTTTTTGGCGCCTATGGAGTTGATGGCCACCTTCTGCATGCGTACAGGATGGGCGTCTATTCTCCATCCAGACCGCGACCCATGAAACTGATAGTCGCTTCGTCTCACACTGCGTCTGGCCTCGTTGCATCGTTCAAAAAGTTCGGCACCTGCCTTCTTCCATGGGCATGCCGCTTCATCGCGATTCGCCGTTCGGATCCGCAGAGAGCACCTCCTCGAGCCACGCAGTTCCCGTCACATGTGAATCACAACAAGATCCGTCTGAATTCGATTGAATTACCATCTCTAGTGGTGTTCCGCAAGGGAGTGTTTTAGGTCCTCTACTTTTCCTTATTTATATCAACGATATTCATAGTTCTTTAACTCCCGGTACCATGGTGCGTCTCTATGCAGATGATTTAAAACTTTATCGCAAAATCCCCCGATCAAACACCCAATATGGTCTTTATTATCTTCAGAGAGATTTAGACTCGATCCTAAAATGGAGCATAACCTGGCAGCTGAAAATTGCCGTCGAAAAATGTAGACAAGTAACATTTGGTCCTTCCCATTTTACTCTTAAGTTAGGGAATATCACTTTATCTGAAGCCACTTCTGACGACCCAATCAAAGATCTTGGTGTTTTACTTGTTCCCTCTCTTAAATTCAACACTCATATTGAACAGATGGCAAAAAAAGCTTTTCGCATCTCAAACCTTATACTTCGCGCTGTTTGTTTTCCCTCAATTGCTACTTATCGTAAAGCGTTCATTACCTACTGCCGCCCTTTGCTCGAGTACGCCACTTTTGTATGGTCTCCCTGCCTCCAAAAGTTAATTTCTTTGGTTGAGAACGTTCAGCGTCGTTTCAGTAGGAGGGCGTATGCCCGTTGTTTCCCATCGAAAGAAATTCCTTGCTATTCTGATCGACTTGCTCTTTTTGACCTTAAACCCTTATCCCATCGCCGCATTTATTTTGATTTGGTCTTATGCTATAAAATCATCTTCTCTCCTAACTCTCATCCGGAACTTAAAGGACTCTTTAAGATTTCGAACTCATAGTCACAACTTTCAGATTACCCCCTTTCAAAGCTTTCATAACCGCCAACTGTATCATTCTTTTGCTTGTCGTGTTCCTCGTATTTGGAATAAGTTACCTTGTGATATTTTTTCGTCTCTGAACTATTTTAAATCCTCAATATATAAGCTCGATCTTGTAGCTCTGTCAATTTTAAATTAGTTTTTAATGTCATATATACACGTGTCTAATTGTAGTTGTGTTTGTATATCAATTATCTTTCTTCGTCTACGCTGTTCAACCTGTTTGCATTGTCACTTTTCCTTGTCGGATAAAGTATATATACATGTTATTGACTCAAATAGAAATCTTGGCAATCTTGACAAGAGCATTTACAGCAAAATTGTTGCAGAAAACGAAATAGCTGCTATTTACCATGGTGATGAAGACAAAGAATTTCAAGAAAGACAATTGATAATTGTGGATCAAGGGGGAAAGAGAAGTTTTATTAGCGAGGCCGATCCAAAAAGCGACCCTCTGACTTATCCACTTCTATTTCCTAGAGGAGATTTTGGATGGCAACCAAAAATAAAGAAAAAAAAGTTTTAAAAACGATTCGAGAAGAATGATCAGGAAAATGTAAATGATCTCGAAAATTCTAAAAATATTTCAATGCGTGAATACTATGCTCATATCTTATTTTCAAGAAAGGGTGTATTTAACCCAATTCTTCACGCCGGAAAGCTTGCTCAACAATTCATTGCAGGGTAAAACCTGGGCAAAAGTCGAACAGAGTCAACTCAAATGGATCCGACATAATCAAACTAAAATTTGTGCGGACTGCTACAAAGACTTACAAGATTTTATTCAACAAGATGCGGTGATTCCAGGAGAAAGCTTCAAATTGGTTTCCATACCATACTGGCCACCCCGGATAATAGGTGAAGCGAAAAATCGGATTTCGGAAAATCCCAAATCGACCTTCGCGTGATTGGCTAAAAAAAACAAAAACCATCCTTTTTTATATTTTTATTTTAAATTTGCAAAGCACATCGAATTAGTGATGAATTAATTGGTGACGGATCAAAGTTGCATGAAGGCAAAGTTGCCACTAGCTCATAGTTGATCTGTTCAGCATTCTGTCTTTTTGTGGCCCCCATAAAATTTGCTATAGCTTCAATCGATTGTCTTTTCTTAGTGCCACTTCTTTCTTGTTTCTATGTTTTGCAATATTTAAAAAAAACAACCGAAGCGTTTCATTTATGTTTTTATCTCAAAGAAACGAGGAGCGATCGCTGCTGATTGGCGCCGAGTGCGACGCGACCGCACCGCATGAAACGATTCAAAAAGATTCAAATTCGAAATGCTTTTGCCGTTTTTACACCCTCCATCAACGTATCATTTGGCAAACGTCGTGTATTCTGATTTCAGTCATTATCTGCTCTATTCCAGGGAGTACATCAACGAAAAGTGAGTTAAACGAATTCTTGAAGACTTTCTACGTTAGTATTGGGTTGATGCATAATTAACCGCCTTTTCTCTGACTCTAAACTTCACCCATAAAGAACTCATTTCCTACACACACAAAAATCGCAAAAAAAAAATTGTTTTTTGCCGCAATCAACAAAATTTTTGTTGTAATCGTGTGAAGAATTTAATTTTCCATTCAACTGCAAAGTTTCGTCGCGAAAAAACTCATTTATGAAGCTAGGAGAGCTCAAATAGTGAGACCATCCATTTCCGAAACAGGTCAACTTCCACGAACTTGTTCTCTAGATAGGAACATCGCCTCCTCCTCATTTATAGCTCATTGAATCGGTGTTTACATCAGCTACGATTTTCTTTTGAACTATTCTAGGCTTTTACTTTCAAATTTTTGGTTTATAGACGCTTTTGGCGAAAAAGGAGATTTTTTCACAAAAATAAATTTTTTCTCAAACCCTTATAAAAAAGTTTTATGCAATTTCCAGAAGCTTTCTGTAGCTTAAAAATATTTTGGTGTATCTAGCTTTGAAAGGAAAAAAGAAGACGAGAATCGGTTGAGTCGTTCTCGAGAAACCTAAACCCGAACTCGACTAGTCAGAGAAATGGCAGTTAATTGTGCATCAACTCAAAATTAGGTTGGTCCATATGAAGTTTTGAATTTTTGAAAAGTCTCGAACTTTCTCATTTTACTATAGATTTATTTACTTTTTTTTATTTGATAGAGGAGATAATTCACTTTTATTTTAGCCAAACAGATTAAATTTTTATTATGAAATTTCCAAGAAAACTTGTCCAAAAGTTGGATAGACTTTGCAGTCTCTGGGAAACTTTATTTCACCATGAATCTTCCAATTTTTTTAGCCATTAGGTGGATAAAATCCTTAGGTACCAAATTCGTAAGTTTGAAAAAGTTCCATGGCAAAATAAGCCGGAAAACATTTTTTGAAATAACCTCAAAATTGGGTAATTGAACAGTTTTGGCAGTTTTGTATAGAGTGTGTTCCTCTCGGTTAATGGGTTTCCTAAAGCGCGTGCTCAAAAAAAGCCACCGTAGACGCGACGTAAATTTTATTTTCAAAACTTCAAATGCAAATTATTATTCGAAAAGTTTTGTTCAAATTTATTACTCAAAAAAGCGTTGTTCAACACTGGCTTCTACTTTCCTAAAATGACAATTAACTCCGGTAATTTTTTTAAAGTTTGAAACTTTACAGAAAGAAAACTGTCCTCGTTATCCATTTGATATTGTTCCACATGTTGTTACTGATTTCTGTTGCTCGTAGTGCAGAGTTAATTTTAAAATAAATCTTATTAGACAAAGAACTACCGTAAATACTGTAATAGTATCCCACCCCCCATAATGACGGCGCGGAGTGTTGCCTAGTCTAGCTTTGAACGAATTTTTCTCGACACTGGTTTATACTACAATGCTCGCTTAGGTATCAAAAAATAGCCCTGAATTTCAGCTATTTTTTGATACTAAAGACGCATTTTTTGAAAGTACGGACGCTTTGAAAAAAAATGAAATACTAAAAAACTTTTGCGACTACGCGAATGTACGAGGGAGGTGGGATACTATTACAGTATTTACGGTAAGTTAAAAGAAAAGAAGCAAGCAAAAAGTCTAAAAGCATCAAACATAAAAAAATTCCAAGGGACGCCGTTGCTTGTAACAATATGCATTCGAAAAAAATTTGCATAAATCATTTTGTTTAACCGTCCCTTTAACCGAGTTTAACCGCCATTAACCGACTAAGAAAACAATTATGCAAATTTATTCGGTTAATTCTCTAACCGCGAGGAACACATTCTAGTTTTGTATGCCAGAAGGCGTGAATTGCAGAAATTTTGCATGCAAAGTACATACTTGATCGCGCGCCTTCTGGCATGCAAACCTTTTTTCGGCGAAACTTTCGGTTCAACCAGGCAAATTGTTTTCAAATTTATCATTATAATACCTAAGGGCTTTCTCTACTCAAAAGAGCTCTCTTTCTTTCAAAATTTCTCTCAAAGGCACGGGGAAAATCTATCTAAAGTTTCCCGGAGACTGTAAAGTTTACCCAACTGTAGCACAAGTTTGAATCAAAATTTAATCACATAATTTTACTTTTTCGCATTTTCGCAAAAAAAGAGAATTATCTTTTCTATTAAATACAAAAAAGTTTAGAAAGTTCTATGGTAAAATATAGAAATTAGAGCGTTTTCAATACATAGCTTCATATGGAGCAACCTAAGAGTTCCTTTGCAAAAAAATTAAGATGCATAATTAAAAGTGGTAATCGGTTTGGCTTTTTTTTCTTCGTGTGTTACCACGACCCCGAAAACTGAAATCTCGGCTTTTCCAGTTTAATCGCAAATGAAAAGTGATCCTGCATATTAACAGGGAGCCTCCATGCTCTAACTTTGAAGTCTGATTCCTCGGTAAACATATTAAAAAAACAGCATTTACCATCGTGAACTTGTAGAGCTTGAAAAAGCGGGTGAAATGAGCTTTCCGTGTTTAAATTTCATTGAGTTACGATTTCCCAAAGATCGCCTGCTTTCGGAAAAATGCGAAAATTCAAACCAATTACCGTGTCAATTTCAGGTCAACCATTAGTGAGAGTGTTTTTGCAAAGAGATTGACAAATAAATCGTGATCTAACACAAAAAATCCAACCGTATTTCTTTCCAGATGGCCGGCGAGCTCGTCGAACTGGAGGGACGGGTAAGGGAATATCTGTCGAAGCACGATGCTTCGCACGACTTTTCACACATTCAACGAGTCGTGCGGAACGCGAGACAGATCCTGGAAGAGGAACGAGTCGCCAATCCGAGCATTGACGAGAATTTGGTGGTTGTGACCGCCCTGGTCCACGATGTCGGAGATTTCAAGTACTGCAAAGACGCAAACGTACAACGAGAGCATTTGAGAACGATTTTGGACGGATTGGTGGACGAAAGTGTGCAGCGGCGTGTCATCGAAATCGTCGCCAACATGTCGTTTCGAAAGGAGCTCGAGCAACGGGAAGCCCCAATCCAGGAGTCGGTTGAGTTCAAGATTGTGCAAGACGCCGACCGATTGGATGCCATTGGAGCGATCGGACTGGCACGCTGTTTCGTGTACTCTGGAGCTACCGGGCAACCGATTCTCAGCGCCGATGCGATGCGCGATTCCATTGATTTGTTCGACTTTTTCAAGGATTCGAAACTGACCGCCGAACGCTACAATCAAGCGGCCATCCGAAACGACGGCAATGCTGTTGGGCACATTTTCGAGAAATTGTTGACGCTGAAAGATCGTATGAAGACGGCCGGGGGCAAGAGAATCGCTCAGGAACGCCATGCTTTCATGCTCTCATTTCTTCAGCAACTCGGATCGGAATTGAAATAAGCAAAGAGGAATCATAAAGATAAATAAAGCGGTAATAAAGATAAATAAAGATTTTAAAGAGCCAAATGACTTTATGGAACTTTCGAAATGAAGAACATTTGAGAAGTTCACCGTATTTGCTCTAATCGTAACACAAAAAATCCAGTTCATCGAGTTATTGGAAATGAAAAGAGTTACCCGTATTTTCTTTAATCATTTAAGCGCAGACTTTACTTAACTGTTTTTTGCTGCTTACATTTCCCCCCGAAAGATTTATACATATCCGTTTACACTTCTGCTTTTCAAAAGCTGATTAAAGCTCTAGATTAGCCTTATCAAAAAGTTCAAAAAAAGAGAGTGTGAACTGTGAGAAGATCATTGATTGCAAAAAGAAGATCCGGGCAATAAATTGATGATTTAACGGATTCCTGGAAAGCATAACAATTCCGATTGAACGTCGGATCGGATGATTTCGTTTCGAATGAAGAATATCAACTTTTGTTTCATCAACGAAAATCACTCGGGCCCAATCATCGACTGTCCAACTTGAATAGGTTCAAGCAAATTGAAGGCGTTACCTCCTGTGTGTGGCTGTCATCATCGGCTTGCGGTCTTCTAGTATACAATGCTGCTTGAAGCAAGCGTCGATGCAAGGTCCAGCGGGAAAGATTCTTGTTTGAACTTTGCTTGAAAAGAATAGCTCCATGGTTCAACATCAAATTCGGGTCCTTCTTGAAAGCACTCCTAAGGAATCGGTCTTCATTCTTTTTTGTAATCCTCGGTCGTCCCTTTTCCCTACATCTGTGCACATTTCCAGACGCATTCATTTTCGCCATAACAAGAAAAACTGTTGTGGGCGTACACCCTAAGGGGCGAGCAACATCTTGCCGTGGCATTCCTTGCTGCCTTGCCGTGACTATCAATTCTTTATCCGGAGTTGATAAATACGCTCCTGGAATCTAAAAAAAATAAATTACTACCGGTAAATAAAAGGAGAACAAAAATAATAAAAATTTTGGCAAGTGTTAAAAGATTTTTACACCACGATTTCCAGGGATGTTTTGATAATTATATTTTTCTTGATGAATAAGTGTTGTACAGCAACAACGTTTGTGTATTGGGTTGGGGAGAATGAGTCGGCGCCCAACTTTAAAGGGACTTTTTGCACACATAAAGCCTTCTTTAAACATACGTTTGGTTTCATCAAAAGAATCCACTATTTCTCTACAAAATCACTTTTGAGAGATTCCACAAAGCTTTTCTTTCGTGGAGTTTATGAACTTCCAAACGCAGCTGGTTAAAATGGCAAAAAGTCCGACTCATCATTTGAACAGTTTCTTTCACATAAACCTTCTTTGGTGTTTATATAAAAAAGATAGAGCACATTCAATTACTTAAGTTGCCAAATTTGCAGGAAGATCCCACCAATGGTTTTTTCTAGATCACAGTTTGTAGTTTTTGTGAAAAAATGGCTTTTTCTTGAGCGGAGGCGCTGTTTGAATTTTCTTTTAAATGTCATTTTGTAGAGAATTAGTTAACCATTCTACTCATATCAAACGCATATTATTTGACGAAGTCTGCTAGAAGTTTTAGACATTTTTTTGATTTTCGGCGCCGACTCATTCTCCCCAACCCAATACATTCACTGAATTTCTCAATCTTTTATAATAAAGAAAAACTTTCAGACTCAAGAAAGATTGACGGAGACAAGCCGAAACTGTGTTAAAAGTTGCTGCGGCAGAAACTAGAGTACGAGTAATGCGGTTTCTAAAACTTTTGAAAGGTACTGTAACCTTTCCTTGAGATTTTTATCGGGTTGGAAGGCTTCAATGTGCCGACATTTTAGAAAATGCGTTACTCACGAGAAACACAGCGATTTATGCCAAAACAAAAATGAGATCTGTAAACTTTTTCAGCCTTTCCTTCAAGAATTCAAAGAACGAGAGCTATTGGAAATCATTCCCGCGCTCGCGAACATTCCTTCAACTCGCGCTCTCTTCTATTTCCCAGCAATGTTTTTCCTGCTACTCAATAAAAAGTCTTTTTTTCTTTTAAAAAGCTTAATATCTCGTATTTTACTGATTTTCAACCTCTTCATCCTTTTTTCGGTTGTTTTCCCTGTACAGGGTTGTCCAGGATTACGGCGGCTAGGGGTTTCTTTGATATTGCATATTTTTGCTTGCCACCTATATATTGTTTTTGTCTTTCTTTCCGTTTATTTTACTTATTTAACTATTTACTTACTATTTTTTTTTTTCTTAAAAAACGTCTCTCTTTAGAATGGCCAAGAAGTCAGTGTACCGAGATGCGATCATCGACTTACACAAGCGTGACGTTTTAACTTTCAAATTCTTCTTCAGATCACTCAATTGCGCATTCTGTTCAACGCCGTGTAAGTTTTACTTTAAATTCAAAAAAGGGCATTACTTTTTTATTAAATTATTGTAACAAAAATGTACAGAATTGTATTTCAGACTCAAAAACTGCAAACGAAGTAAATACACCGGCACAAATTTTTTGTGGTGATATTCAAGTAGTCTGCATGAAGTGTTGTGAAGAACAACGAGCAATAGCCCACAGAACAAATCAATGCAAAGACCAAAATTGTTTCGGGTACACAACGGCTCCTTCATATTGCTTGATGGGTGAGTAAACTTGAAAGTAATCGAGGAAAATTCTCTTTGAAAAACGAACACAATCAGATTGCTTTAGAGTTGCTCTCAAGTGGATGCTTTACGTTGAATCAAAATTTGAAGGGATACGTTCAAAAAACTCAATCAATCACAATACCTGAGTGTCCGATTTGTAATGAAGAATGTGGGTGATTTCATTGTACACTTAGAAAATGATGAAACATTAGACTCAATAGAAAACTCACAAAGAGAACCATTCCTCCTCTACTGTGGCCACGGGATATGTAATGGGTGTTTTGCTAAAATGTCAAAACCAATGACCTTCATGACCATCAAAAGCAATGACCTTCATGACCATCAAAACCAATGACCTGAGCCTCAAATATTGTCTCGAGTGTCCACAATGCAAACAAAGCGTTAATTATGCTCAAGAATCATGGGAGAATCCATTGAAAAGTTGGTTGCCTTTTTTTCATACTTGAATTGTTAAAATCATTCAGTCTTTTTGCGAGAACTGCCTAAGAAACAAACTGAATCGCGTGTGGAACTGAAAAGAACATGTGGTCATTGCGAGAAAGAGGTTTTTCTCTAGATTTAACCTTGTCAAAATTTATTTAGGCGCCTTTATTGGAAATGTTTCAATGTAACGATTGTGGAAAAGTAATGGTTCGTTGAGAAGAGATCTTTGAAAATAGAAGTTTATAATCTTTGGATAATTTCAGTTAACGCTTTCAGGGATGTTAGAGAATGCCGATCAAAGTTGCCGCTGTAAAGATCGGAGACGCCGCGGGAAAGTTTCTTAGAGCGTAGCATACGGGCTCAGCTCTAGTCTAATTTTAAGCTAGGTGTTTGCTTGTTGTTTTGTTTTTGTGTTGTGAATGTTTGTTTTTTTATGTGCACTTTCGTCGCGTAGAGCAGTAAAAATTTTTAGGAAACTTTTGGAGTTGCAAATGCACATAAAAGTGCGGCGTTGAGGCAAACAAAATAAAGCACAGGCTTTACACCGATATAGCTCTTTCACCCTTAATGGAATCCAGTTGTAGAACCTGAACATTGGTGTTCTTTTTGTGAAAAGCTCTCGCTTTACTTCTAGCTTGACTAAGATGGTCGTTCTGTTGAGTTTAAGTTGAGAAATCTGGCAAGACTTCTAAATAATTTGATGTTTTTAAAAAAGATTAAGATTTTACGTGATTACTTTCACTACATTTGTTGACCTTTGCTGGAAAGCCGAGAGACTGTTCAATATCGAGCAGCTCTCCGACGTTCACGAAGGGCTCGTCCAAGAAGTCTTGTTGAGCCAAGCCGTCTAAATTTTGGCTAATTACAAGTTATGGTTATTTTTCTACCTAAAAATTCATTCTTCACTTTGTCATAGTTGACCAAATCGTACCTCATTTGTGGCATGGCAACGAGCCATCGTAGAGTGGAAATGAAGACACATACGAGCAGACTTGACCTCGATGTCGCTGAGATGATTGAACGGCTCGACTCGCATTGAGTTGATCGCAGAAATGGGACCTTTTACCAGCTTCTTTAACCACCAAACTTTTCAGTTTTGTCATACATGGGCGTGAGGAATTGCATCGCCTCCCAGTAGGGCCAGTTAACTTTGGGTTGTTGGCTGAGACTTTTTCAGTTCACTCGATAGTAACAACGTCGGGAATCGAATAGCCGATTGCAATCCTCTTCTTCAAAGCTAGCAATCAATATTCATAAAATGATTTTTAACTTATTAGATCAAACTGTTTAGAACATACCTTTACTTTCGACTACCCTAAAATTTTTACGGCTACGGTTTCCTGTTGTTTATATGCTTTTATCGGAGATTCGAAAGACAGCTGGATTTGTAATGTGAAAGATCTACAGTCGTATTGGAGAAGTTCCTCATTGGAATTGTTTTGTTTTGCCTAGTTCTCTGTTCCTTGAACTGTCATTAGATTGCTTTTCAGAATGTATTTTATTTGGCACGGTCAAGCAAAGTGAAAAAAAACCAGGTTCTATTAAGTAATCACAGAAAATTTTGAGCTCAATAAAGGGAAATTGAAATAGCAATAAACAATAAACAGGAAAAGAACAGAAACATTAGGTTCAAAGTTTCTAGGGTGAAAAAAACTGTGATAAGAAAAAAAGTATACCCTGTAATTGTGGGGTACATTCATTTGTAGCCACATGAAATGGACAGAAATTCTACGTACACCCAAAACATTGAATAGAAAGAACGCTCAGACAATCACACCATTATTCTCTTCAAGAAATGGGCAATAGAAATGGGCAATAGAAATAAACAATACGTATCAAAAACAAATCCACTTGATACACACAAGAGTCTACAGAAACCACATGGAAAAGAAGCATAGGCCCTATAAAGATTCCATTTTCGTTTATTGAGTAAAGAACTCTCCATAGCTAATTTCTATCGTGTATGGAATGCGATTGTAGATTGTACTATTAAATTATAAATTATATTTC